TCTGAACTGGTATTGTGTTATTGTATAAACAAAAGTTGGTAATAGCACATAATAAGTTCAGGAATAGAAGGATCACTCTCTGATAGCAAACTTGCGAGTTTAAACCTAGTTATAACCTCACTAATTTTCATAATACTTTGCACGCCTCAGTAGCGACCTTCGTGAAATTAGCCTACCGATTAAATCGTCGAAAATAAATTAATGCGGCGCACGTATTAAATCAAAATGCACCTTGGGTCCGTGTGTGTGTCTGTATCACTGAGCCCGTTACGCGGGCCGCTACTGTAGGGTTAGGTGTTGTGTGAAAACGTATTAAATCCTATACAAATAGTTAAAGTTCAGGCAGTAACTATAAAAAAAATATTAATTTTTATATTAAATATATAATAGATAAATTTATATTTTAATTTATAAATTTTAATAGTACTGGGAGGCCTACTTACACTGAACGATTATTTAAGATCATTGACAATATACGCGAAAAACTCGAAAACTGCGAAGTTGATAAGTAAAGTATACGTGGTCGGATCGCTTGTCAAATATTATAATATAATAAATCTGTAACTATGGAGCCAGTAACCTAATTATCTGGATATAAACCTATAAATAATAATATCTTAACTGTCGGTATCCTTGGGAACATTAAAGAATGAAAAGTCGACATTCCTATTATTATTTAAGCACCCTATGCTATGCAGTATCTTTTGGCTTTTTGACTGGCCATACTTGAATAAAATTGCATAAATACTTATAAGAGAAAAATACTTTTTTGTCAACGTATGACACGCTTCAGCTCAACCGCGCGAGTGACAAGCTCACTGAATTAGTACCTTGTAGGGGTCCGCGCAGCGTAGATACTTTTTGATGCCGAAAGCGCGGAGTGAGACAGGCCTAGGCCCACAGCCTAACATTTTGGCACCCTCAATGTATTTATTTTTGGCAGATATTACTTTCTGCTTTTACAACTCCTCTTCCATTTTAATAAAAGACAGAATAAAAGTCAACAACCGTGATGATAAGTCGAAAATTTTTGAAATAACACACAACACATTAGCTTGTTTACTGTAGAAGTGACGTCGGCACGGAATCTAATATGGCGGATAGCGTTTGGGGGTTCGACACACTCATTAAAAAAATTCTTAAAATTTAATTATAGAATTTTTTAATTTAGAATTTTTTAGAATAGAAATCAACATTTCTCGTTTACTTTTTGCAAAACCTATCATAAATACTTATTTTCTATTTTTTTACATGGTGAAAATACCCTATTACATAATGATTTCTTATATGTTTACACGACCACTACACATTGATTAAAACTACTTTAGAACATCTTAATTCCATAAACTCTAAAATTCAATTTACTATGGAGTTAGAGGTAAGTAATTCCTTACCTTTCCTAGATGTGTTAGTCATCCGAAATCATAACAACACCATAGGTCACACTGTGTATAGAAAAAAGACCCATACAAACCGATATTTAAACGGTGAATCTCACCACCATCCTTCACAGTTAGCTACCGTGGGCAAATCTTTATTACAGCGAGCACGAGGGATCTGAGACAGCAAACACCTGGCCACCGAGCTTAGTACGTCAAGCAGGTTCTGCACGACAACAAGCTTACGGTCCCGCGCCTACGTCATAGTGACCGAGTGAAGCCGGCCACAGTCGAGCGTGTGCCTGCTGTACTACCATATGTCAGAGGTGTCACAGACAAGCGAGCTTCTATTAGAACATTCTAAAAGCCGCCGAAGAAGATTAGTCAGTTCTTACCATCCGTCAAGTGTTATATTCCTCTACAGGATGCAGGAGTGTACAAGCTTGATTGTGAAGGTGGTCTTTAATATACAGGACAAACAAAGAGAACGATTAGAACCCACATAAAAGAACATATAGCTGATGTGAAGGATCAGCGCTTCGGGAAGTCTGCAATTTGTGATCATATCCCAGATGGCCCCAACCATTACATCAGATGTGATAGACCACAAATCCTCGCGAAAAACACCGATTCCTACCAAGGATGATACGTGAGGCTATTGAAATTAAAAAAACATCCTAATTTCAATAGAGAAGGAGGCTGGGTACTACCACCTGCTTGGGACCTTTATAATAAATAAAATTAAAACTAAACCCAAGCATACCGCAAGACTTCAAGACACAGTCAGTTCATTTTGCATAGATCGGATCATTTTAATATATATAAATTACGTGGCACGTTGTTTGTCCGCGATGGACTAATAAACTACTTAACCGATTTTAATCAAATTTGCACACCGTATGCAGTTGACTAACTTGAGAGATAAAACAGTTTTTTTGCCCATGAGAGAACCACAATTTTTTTTGCGAATTGAAGAATTTAAGGATAGGGCATGACAAAGGATCGTCGAAAAGGGCAGAACAACGTCTGCCTGGCAAGCTAGTAAACAATAATTAAAAAGCTGAAGGTACTCCGGGTTTAACAATGACATCGGGACGTCAGTCATCTAAGTCCCCCGTGACCATGGGTGCTGGAAAGCACCCGAAACGTCGGGAATTAAAAATAATTAAAATTAAACGCGATAATATCCGTAAAAGTAGTTTTAATCAATACCCTATTACAGCCTGTCACAAGTCCACTCTACTATAGACTCCTATAGATTTCTTTGGGGTACCTACCCCCCCCCCTCGGTATTTGATAGAGTTGTACCGCTTGGCAGGCGGGTAGGGAACCGCAGTTTTGTTTATTACTTTCGTTTTCTATCGGGAAGATGCTGCTGCCCACAGGGTGTTTCTATTTCCCTCTGCCGACTCTTCCGACATTCACAGGATGATATGGGGTGGTGAATTCTCTCACGCCGCCACGTGCCAGTTGTAAAGTTTTATTTTTTAATTTCTATTTTATTATCATTAGAATAGAATAACAAACGAGTTAACACTGTGTTATCACCCCTGAATACTAAGACGAAAGGTTTCACAATTTGTATTTGTATATTGGCTCTAAACACCCTTCAATATTTCGGAGACATCTACAAGTAAAGTCTGCCAACAGTAATTGGGAAAGCGCGACGGTTTCCTTGCCCTAAAACTCTCAGAAATTAAAGGACGTAATTAGACTGTAACTTCACTACATACTCTTCAAATCGGAATACAACAACGCCACTGATGTTGCTAAAAAGTAAGTTGTGCCTAAGCTCTAAGGCAGAAACAATGCATCCTTTCACCTTTCCATAGACGTACAGTCGTGAGTGGACGAAGTGGTTCAAGACAATACCTCATTCTGTTTCTTATCTTACCCATTGCACTAAATATGAAAACATTCAAATTCAAATCACGTATTTATTACATTTAACGATTTTTAATAGATTGAATTATTGGATCTACAAAAAAATATTTAATTATCTAGTTATAAAAAACCTATGCTTTATATTCTCATAAAAATGTGTTACCAAAAAGAAGTAATTGTCCATCAGTAAGTGTTCAACCTGCCCTTTGGTAATATTTTGATCGGTTGGTTATTTGAAATTTCAAAATACCTCCACATTTTTAAGTGAGTAGAGACCAACTCTACGGTTTTAGAAAAAAATATGATATCGTCTCCATGCCAATTTCGTTTAACGCTTAATAGCATAAGTAGTGTTTTTTATATTAAACTGATGTGACAGACGAGCTCACAGTCCACCTGATGATAAATGGCTACTGTAGTCCATGGCCATCTGTAACCAACCTTCAAACTAAGAAGGCTCATGCGTAGTCACTTTTGAGGAATAATGCCTCACAGCCTGTAAATAATGCTGACTCTCTTTACCCATCAGAACGAAGCAGCAGAAATTATAACTAATAATTTAATAAATATAATTTATAAATATATCGTATATCTATTGTTGAATAAGCTGTATCTTGTAGTTACTTTTGAAATGTTTTATATTGCCTTCAGAATCCAAAATGCAACTTTTTATACCATAGCCATCATACTATAATATATGCACTCAATTTCTAATTATGACATGAAATAAGTTAAGAAAATTATATTGAACGAAAAAGCCTAAAGTAATAATGTCAGCATAATTCTAAAAAAAAGCAAATATTTAGGGAATGTAACTTGTTCGGAAAAGTGAAATAACTACCTAGGTACCTATTTAAGTATGATTTCCAATACTTTTTGCTATAGAGAGAATCGTTTTAGATACAGAGGAAATAAATTTAACCACTCGCGCTTTAGGTATGCGTACCGTGTACAGCTATTGAAATTGAAAAAAATTGTAATAAATATAGGTAGTACTTATGCGATATGAAATTTTATACAGATAAAAATTGCTACATTTCTAGAATATTACAATTTTATAAAGCTTTCAGGGAGGGAAGGAGCGTCGTAATAAAACAATAAACTTATCTTCACTTTCCGGACCCTTTAAACAGCTTATTTTACTCCTTTGGTCGGTAACAATAATTAAATATCTATTAAATTATGAATTAATATGAATGAATAGTTAACGCTTTATCATCATCATCATCATTACAGCCCATCACAAGTCCACAAGTTGCTGAACATGGGCCCCTCCCAAGGAACTCTACAAAGCGCTGTCCTGAGCCACAAGCAGCAATCGCCTTCCTGCATCTCTTACCAGGTCGTCGCTACATGTAAACTTTGTTCATAGGAAAAATAAATTTAAAATTTGAACAATTATTGCCAGCAAGTGGTCAAACCAAAAATACGATACTATAATCCTATTTCAAATAAATATAAGAAGATCGTAATAAATAACATAATGTCGTGTCGGTCCATAACCCATCGTTATAATTTGATATAACTGAATTTTTAAACGATATGAGAAATATTTCTTAAAATATAATTAAAATCGAAAGCACAAATTAAACGACTACTTAACTGTATCGAAAATGCAAATTATCAAAAAATGTTTGTAAATAGTGAAATATTTTAAACTAATAACGTAGAGTTCAAAGGCTTATAAACTAATAACAATTATAAGAGTAGTCTGGGCGCTAAAATTGTAACACATACCTGGCAAAAAAGCAAACGCGAAAGTCGATATGGGGTGCATTATTGCACGCAACCACTGTATCATACGAAACTAAAAAAATTGTTGCAAATAGATAACTATGAACCAAACATTAAAGTTTTGACATTGTTTTCAATAGGTAATATAACGCACGATCACAAATTCAAGTGTAAAGAGAGATGACTAAGTAAATCGCGAGCGACACAACGCGGACGCAGTATCAACCACAACTGTCCTCCGAAACCGATTTCCCTCGCTTATAACTTCCCTTCCCTGTCATGATGGGACAACAGCTGCTTTCTGTATAAAGTTTTCCGGGCTATAAAATTGAACGCTATCAACTCCTACATCAAAGTACTGCCGTCAGCTTAGCGTCTATTCATTATAACTTGTACCATGTATTTACACGTGACTAATTCCAAATGAATATGTTACACTTAATAACGGATACCTATTTGAATTCTAGATTCTTTTACTATATATCGTAGGTCTTCTATCTGCGTTTCAAACTTTAAATTTACACTATCTTAAGTCATTTGTTAAATGACTTAAGATAGTGTAAGTGGCATTTATTAAATGTAATAAATAAGTATACCGATAGATATACCTACAGTTTTAATTAAGTACGTTCTGCTGCTGGGCACACGCATCTTCTCAACTGATCATTCCAACTGATCCGTTCAAACTTAGGACTGTTATTTTTTAAAATATCTGATTTTCGATATAACGAGAATTACAAATATATCAATATCGTAGAAACTAAAATACAGGTCCTAGTTTGATCTGATCTGACAGAAAAAAAAACCGCCCATTAGTCTACTCCAACGCAAGTCCGCCAAAACTTCATATATCCTTGGAATATTTAACCCCTTACGAACGCAGATTTCTACATTCCGGTGATTGTGATGTATGGTGAATTCGTCGGTACGAGCACGTGAAAATTCATGATTCAAATTCTAATTAACAATCTCAGTAGCAGAACATTAAGCAATTACCAAGAGCTAATTTAACGAGCTACCAGAGATTTAAAATACGCAGATTTCTTTAATTATTCTCTACTATACTCATATTACTCACAACGGTATTAATATGTTTCTCAATAATTAAAACAAATCATAAATATTAATTTTGCTGAGATAAGTAATAATCACACAAAAAACCAGTAACAGATTACAAGCGTACGATAGATTTATGTCTTCGATCAACAATAGTTGGTATTGTTGATCGAAGATTTATGTATAGTTTCTTCTCGGGTTTCTATCAGTAACACAGCCGCTGGATTTTTTTTCCTCGTAACGGGACAAATTCCTGGTAATAGTGGAAGGGGAAGAAAGTGATTTTTTATGCAACGGTCAGAACATTTACTTACCGAGTTGTAGGAGAACACACGGATCGTGTTCATTTGCATTGTTACATCAGGTGCGGATCTTAGATGAAAGAACTTCGTTTGCACTAACACTTATAGGACAGAAACCGTCTTAGGTCAAAGGCTAAACGTACGCCTTTGTTTTCATAGCATGCTAACAACCAGAAATCGATTCCCGCTGGTAAAATTGTTGGTAGCGTTGTGGTATGACATGATATCTTGTTGAATACAAACCTTCCGGTGACGCTACATTTCACTCTCACTTTCGTTCTATCTGCCTGTTGTAGTGTGTCACAACTTTTCATTTCGATTATTAAATTCGTTACAAATATATATTTATCTACTTTTTAGTTCACAACTAATGTGTACAGTGATTAATTTTTAACCGTTATTTCCTACGCTAAAGTAAATGGACTTCTCCACGTTTAGTTTTTTTTTTATAGAATTAAGATGACAAACGACCACACAGTCACTAGATCAGATGTTAAAACATCTTTCCACTAGATGGTAAGTCGACGCTGTGGCCCATTGACATCTACATTTAACCTCGATTAAGAATCTAAATGCAGTTGCGTTGTCACCCCTGAGGACTAAGATTGAATGCCTCGATTCCAGTAAAACGGGTCTCCGGTTCTCTACACTCACCATACGAAACACAGCAGCATCAAGCTGTTATTTTACGCTGGTATTCTGTGAGAGCGTGGTCCTTCCCCGGTCGAGCTGATCACAGCTGCAGCGTGGCTCTACTACGTATAATACTATTATATATTTAGTATATTATATCAAATATTTTGTCTTAAAAATTCAAAATTATTTTCGCTATCAATTCAAGGTTCTTTACTACTACAGTGAATTGACCATTCTGCATTAAATATTTGGTAGTGCCATTACTTTATAAACACCATTAGCTGTATTATACCGCAGGTGTTGTAGGACTATGGTTACGTACGACTGAGCATTTGATCAGAAGCCACACATACACACCCCGCGATAAATGACAGTATAACCATTATGTTTATTTCCGTATAAAATCCCCAGATTGACGGAAGAAAAAAGAAATAAAAGTGGTGATCGCAATATTAAGTATGTATTGCGATCACTACTTTTGATCACACAGATCATCGATCTGTGTTATTTCTGGGAAATGTCAATATCCTACTGTGAATTGTCTGCATAGTGATGAGGATAAGAAGGTAGAGTCATGCAAGATCTTTATATCGCCAGCATGGCTATAACCAATATATTAAGATGTATGTTTAAACAGTAATACAGGTTCAAAAAGCAAAAGTTTACCGACTGCACAACGAGCTGCAAGCGACAGTTCATCAATCAGTTCAGTCAGGACAGACTGTCACTGGAGATTGTAATGTTGTGAACGCTACGAACTGTAGCGTTTTTAATCGTTTCTCAGTTAATATATTATTATTTTATTAATTATTAAGTACTTTATATTTCTCTTAAACTTAATTCCTTAAATTCGATTTATTTAAATTAATTTACTGTATGCATCCTACGCTACGTAGCATGCTTTTAGTGAAGAATCAAATAAATTTTAGTATGTAATGACAAAATAAGTCCACGTGTCTAGAGGTTAGAGGACCTTGCTTCTGTGTGTATGTGTTTCAATACTGGGTTAGATCCCAGCTGGAGAAAAGATATTTGCAAATTGGTTGTTAGATTTGAATGTGTTGTGATTACCCTATGTCTATACAACACCGCATCCTAGCCTTCTTCCGATCTTATCGTACAAGTTTCATCAGGAATAATATGTACATTAGGACGTGTGACTTCGTGTTTTCGTGGACACATGGCGCTATTGCCCTGTTCAGTCGACAAATCCTGGTCTGATAATAATCGCATTTCTTTACTGTGATCGAAATTAGTAGTTTTAGAATTTGATCAAATATTCATAACCTCTTGACTTCAAGCAACTTCGAAATGTTTTTTGCTCTAGCACTGTAAACAATTTAAACTTCTAAACCACCTTAGTTTCTCAAACGTCAGTTTAAGGAAAACTTGTAAAATTAATTAATAACTACAAATTTGATTTAAGTTTAGTACCACCTACTTCTTAATTCTACGAGGAAATTGAACACAAAAACTTTTAAAATTTCGAAGTATTAATTTTCGTTACACACCTCTAGTTCGTGTACTTTTATCAGTTTTTAGAACCGTATTCCTGAGTAATATAATATGTAAGTAATAATCATAAGTTATACGAGTACATTACGTTTTTTTAAGCTAGGCTTTTTTTGTAAGTAATTATTTGCGCTAAAATTATTCATCGTTACGATATTAAGATATATTCACTATCAACTTAATTTTTTTTAAACATAAGATAACTGCATTATATTGTCGAATGAGTAATTGTGTCAGAGATTAGTGATATTCATCTCAACTCCGTAGAACATAAATTTATATATAATTTACATTAAAAGCTGTTGCACATATAAAAAAAATTATGGTGTCTGTCTGCAGCATCGAATACTTCCTTCAATCGATAACTTCCTTTTATCTCAGCTCAGGGGTTTATTTTTTTTTTACAGGATAGGGTGACAAACGAGCTCACAGTCCACATGATGGTATGTGATTGCTACGGCCCATAAACATCTACATCAATCCTCTCTCGATTACAAATCAAAATGCAGATGCGTTGTCACCCGTGAGGATTAAGATGGAATGCCTTGTTTCCAGTAAAAAGGGTCTCCGGTTCTCTACACTCACCAGACGAAACACAGCAGCATTAAGCTACTATTTTACGCTGGTATCGTGAGAGCGTGGTCCTTCCCCGGTCGAGCCGGCCCTATACTACAACTATATTACTAATATAACTGCAGCATGGCTCTACTACGTGGAAAAATGTTATATAATATATAAAAATATAATATTTGCATGCCATTAAGGTATTAATAACCTTTTTTTAAATTCCGTCTGTTTGTCCGACTGTCTGACTGGGTGACTCTTTGTCTGTGTGGCCTAGTCCTCAGAATGGCTGAACCAATTGTGATGAAACTATGCGAAAAGAAAGAGAGAGCGATACCAGTAGCGATCTAAGTTATATTTTATCCGCAAAAGTTGGAGATTAATAATGTGGTCATTAATAACTATTTTAAGAAATATAGATGACATTATTAAACTCCACCTAGGCGAAGCCGGAGCGGGTCGCTTGTATTAAATGAAAAATAGAGCCACACTGCAACGCGTTATGCCCGCAACACGATTGTACGAATGTATACGTGAAGTACTCTTAGCTTAAATCGAACATATGCCAATAATAATGCTTCATTACCAGGCAAAGTAGACTCGTTGAATTGAATAGAAAAATGAGTGGTTTGCAGATAATTATACAAGAAGCTTTCTATATCAGAGCTCATTTTATCAATACGTCTTTGTACGGTGTTGTTACTTAAAGGAATTCTTTTGAGTATGTCAAATGGAGGTTTGTGCAGAACAGTTTTTAAAACCTCTTCAATAGCGGGTAATATTAACTCTTCTCCGATGGTGTCAAAGATTTAAATAGTTAGATTCATTATTTTTGAATGTGTGCGTTTGCAAGACGCTGACGCGCGCACACTAATGCAATAATGTCATCTCTTATTATCTTACAGAAATTGTGTATACTATTTTCTCTGTTGCCCAAATGAGCATTGATTGCGAATGAGTGAGCTCCCTCATTTGAGAATGGACACATTTTGGAGGGGTTATAATATAGTAAGGGCAGATCTAACTATTTAAATCTTTGGATGGTGTGTGGTTTTCCAGATAAGCAACGAAATATCTACAAGCCATCATTACTCTGAAACGTTGAGCAAACATACTATTTACGGTAAGTATATTTTCATATTTTTCCTTCAATATTTGAAAGTATTTCAGATCTTTACCTATTTTTTCAGGTTGACACCTTTTTTTCATAGGATAGGGTGACAAACGAGCACACAGTTCACCTGATGGTAAGTGGTTGCTGTGGCCCACAGACATCTACATCTATCCCCGATTACGTGAATCAAAATGCAGATGCATTGTCACCCGTGAGGACTAAGATGAAATGCCTCGTTTCCAGTAAAAAGGGGTCTCCGGTTCTCTACACTCACCATACGAAACACAGCAGCATTAAGCTACTATTTTTACGCTGGTATTCTATGAGAGCGTGGTCTTTCCCCGGTCGAGCCGACCCATTCGTGCTACAACTATACCTCTAATATAACTGAACTAATATCACCACTATAGTACGCGCCAAATCGATTGAGAATAACGGACAATGACCTTTCGGTCGTTTAACCAGGGGCTACAAACCTTCAATATATAGGCACTTTTTATATGTAGTACTTTCTTTATTTATATTGATTGATATAATATATATTTAATATATATTTATAATATATATTTACTATTATTAAAAAGTTATGTAAAAGATCGCTGTAGAAGAATAAATCATCTATTGTTGTAAAGTACTTTAATCATCAAAAAGCATTAATTTATAATACATATAAAGATTCGAGTGATAACGACACCAAATAAGTACACGTACTTATTCAAAAAATAAAACTAAATTTTCATTACATAAGAACTTTATTTTTATTCGGTGCATGCGGACCGGTCCAAAAAAAATTACGCATCTCTGGCTGCCATTGTCACGTTTCTTTTACGGCGCTTCTACACGTTGGCCAATACAGTGGCGAATGTAGTGGCCAATAGTATTGGCCAACGTGTAGACGGGGTGTTTGGGCTTCATTGGTATGTATTGGAACTATGGCCCGCAAGTTGGCGCGAGATCCGTATGGTGTCGGTTTTTTACAAAAGATCAAAGCATTGTTGGCAGAGTTTGGTCGCCGCGTCCACACGTTGGCCGCGAGTTTAGTTTGCTACAAGCTCCCAGAGTGATTACACGCATCTGATTTAAATTTTATATTCAAGCTTTGTAGGGTGTATGCCCCAATTACCAGCCGTTTAGTGCCAATTTCAACTTTAAACACTCCTACTACTTTAATTAGCGCGATTTAATTATTTTTAAACATTTGTTTTAATCGATAAGCTATTTATAA